CGGTCCCATATAGTAAGGAAAGACGACCAGACGCTGCTAAATTTAGTAAGCTATCAGAAGAGTGCTTACCAATGACAAACTCGTTGGACTTAAACTTCTGGCTGGCCACGTCTTAGGGTCATCACTGCCCCACTAGGGGGGGAGTGATCTGTAGCGGTAAATAAATCCACAAACTAAATGGCTCTGTAAGTTTTCGATATTGGATGCTGACTATATGTTTTAGTGGACTCATCTAACTGAAGGCGCTCGGTCATGCATCCGCACCAGACCACGTGTGGTAACGCTGTGCTCAACATCTACCGCAATCGCTAGCCAGATTAGATCAGAGAATTCCAATATATTGGTTATCACCAAATACACTCTTCCGATCTCCTCGACTCTGTCTTTTGATTTCTCTCGGTGGGAACAAATTATATTAGAAGGTGTTACTGGTAGAAGCGTTGTCAAACACTGAATACCTGTATCATCATCAACATGAATCACCTAATATTTAATACTTTTCCAAACTCATTTTTAAAATTTATTTTTGCTTGACGGCTGATATCGACTTACGGTAGAAACCATTATTGGAATGAAGCAATCTGTTAGTGTATTATTAAAAACAATCTACCATCATAAATACCTTACAGAACATCAGACATTCGGATTCCTGAAGCATTCCAAACAATTGTCATTATTTACCAACTGAGTCGACTGACGAAACCTAACTTTATTTATGCGTGAACAAATCTTTAAAGTCTGTAGTGTTGTAACTCACGCATGCTGCGAATTAAGCTAATACCAGTTTCTTACTTAATTTCCTAGCACATAAAATACTTTTTAACTAAACACAAACACTACATGCCAAGCCCTGATCATAAACATTCGATTTCGCATGCGCACGAGACCACACTTATGTGCGTCATACTATACTTCTCTTATAATAAGCAGTCAGTTTTGAACACAGTGTTCCCACTCGTGATCTGGTGCGGATCAATGACCGAGTGCCTTTGTATAAGTGAGTTCATTAAGACGAATTTGGTCAGCATCCAATTTCGAAGACTTACAGAAGTATTTATTTTGTGAACTTATTTAACGCTAAATTGCAATATGAGACAAGACGTTAGTATACAATGGTCTTTAACGTAAATGGTAAACCACTATTGTGGTCCACGATACAGCTTCCATAAACGTTACAATCAGTTATGACTAATTGATCGCAAATGTTAATCATAAATCTTAAGAAACTTCAACTAAAATATAAATTATTGATCAAGGATCCAATGAAGAGTCCTGGATTTCGTAAATTTGTATGTTACTAGTAATGTCGTGTTGCCGCTGTCTTGTGAATGCTAGGTTCAGACATCTAAGTTGCTTTCCTTCGTCTGAAATTCCAGTTGGAATATAATCAGTATATGTTTAAGAAGTCAATACCATGAAATACTTAGCTGATGAGCACCTTCGAGGTTTACTGAACTTGTCACTCCAAGTGGTATGCATCTAGATTTGGAAGGATGAAGCGGAGTAAACAGCTGTTCTGTCAAGACATTGTTCATACATTGAGGTTGGTTCACTCGTTAAAAGACCGATTCGAAAATGCGACTGAAAGTTTCAGGATATATACTGAACGATGGTGTGCGTTGGGGAGACGTTGTAGGGCTGCCTAACATCAAAGTATTCATCGTTGCCTGCGTGTAACGAGTACCAATCCCTATAAAAACCGAATATAGTAATAAAACTATTTGTTTGATCGAGTGACAGTCTGTTCCTGAATCCAGCACGTGGCCAAATTCGTTCTACTTAACTTCATTTTCAAAAACTAGGGGACCGGCTTTTAACAAAAAAGACTATCTTATAGTTATGACGTGACGTGTAACATTGTTTCAGATAAATAGTTATCACGGCGTTAATTTTCTAAGTTCAAGACACATTTTGAAAAATGCCGTCAAGCATAACTTTGCTCATAGTGGATAAAATGTACATCTGTATAATATCCCATCTCAAATATGTTTTGTTTTTATAAAATGATGGACATTAACTTTCAGATGACTGACAACGAAACGAACCCTCGTCTTGACATTGGAGATTCGTGGCAGGCTCATTTTTCACTAACTACAGTTGCATACAACACGAGTCAGCTTCCCAAAATGGTCGACTAAAATTTCATCAAGTGAGATATCTGAGCACATCTGAGGGGAGTCCATTGTATTCTCTCACGGGATGTTAATTAACTTTATGATGGAGTTACTTTTAATGTTGAGTAGATATAAGGAGCGCAGTCGATTTAAAAAGTGTTAAAATGAAACCTCACAATACGTACAAAACAATATTCAGCATGTAAGATTTACTCAAACGCCACCAGAAGCCCCTCAGTGGCTTCAGCCAATCGGAAGACCGGATAACTGAGCAGGGATCGAGATACGGTTAGTGACCCCATCCTGTAGAAAACTAACTCTCTAAAAAAACGCTAACCAGAAAAAATTAGTAAAGACACTCAAACTCTGCCCTTGGGAGTCAGAAGGTCTTCATTCAGAAGAGTTATGACGCCTCATGGTGAGAGTCGAGTTCCAAGAGTCTGATGCCCCTTCTAAAAATCAGAGCAATCACTTATTTGGGTACATGGAATGCGCGTACATCGTTAGAGACTGAAAGATCCTTCCAAATTGCCAAAGAAATGAGATACAACCTGGAAGTGCTTGGGATCAGTGAAACACATTGAACGTAACTTAGACAAGGACTAGTTTCAGAGGAGCTTCTGTCATACTCTGGTCATGAAAAAATGCACCACATACACAAGGAGTTGCACTGATGCTGTCCAAACAAGCACAAAACGCACTTAAAGGATGGGAATCTCATGGACCAAGGATCAACAAAGCCTCCCTCAAAGTATAGACAGAAAGCATTTCAATGAACGTCATCCAATGCCATGCGCCTACAGACGACTACAATGAAGACGCTAAAGACCGATTCCACAATAGGCTGCAGTCAATCATCGAGAAGTGCCCAATAAAAGACCTGACCATTCTGATGGGAGACCTTAATGCCAAGGTTGGAATGAAAAACACTCGATATGAAGACATAATCGGACGACATGGACTGCGAAAAGGAACAAGAGTGATTTACGAACCTGTGTGTTTTCAGTAAACTGATCATTAGCGGCACTATATTCCAACATAAACGCATTCACAAAATCACATGGACTTCACCGGATCACAACACCCAAGACCAAATCGACCATATCTACATCAACGAAACGTTTGGGAGGACGATGGAGGACGTGAGAACCAAGAGAGGAGCTGATATAGCATCACATCATCACTTGCTGGTCGCCAAGATGAAATTGAAACTCAAGAAGCACTGGACAATGGGGTGGACAATATCACTAAAGTTCAATACGGCCTTTCTTCAGGATACTAACAAACTCAACGAATTCGAGATAGTCCTCAGCAATAAGTTCCAGGCATTTCATGATCTACTCAACGGAGAAAGAACCACTATGGAGAGAAACTGGAAGGGGATCAAAGAGGCAATCACTTCAACATGTCATGAGGTCCTGGGTCACAGAAAGCACCATCACAAGGAATGGTTCACTGTTGATACACTGAACAAGATTCAAGAAAGGAGGAACAAGAAAACAGCAATCAATACTTGTCGAACAAGAGCAGAAAAAGTCAAGGCACAAGCTGAATACACAGAAGTAAACAAACAAATGAAGAGGAGCATCAGAACCGACAAACGTAAATATGTGGAAGATCTAGCAAAGACGGCGGAAAAGGCTGCAAGAGAAGGGAACATGAGACAACTGTATGACATAACAAAGAAACTCTCTGGAAATCGGCGCAAACGTGAACGACCAGTGAAAAGCAAGGAAGACAAGGTAATCACCAATATTGAAGAGCAACAAAACAGATGGGTAGAACACTTCAAAGAACTCTTGAATCGACCAGCTCCACTGAACCCACCCAACATCGAAGCAGCACCCACGGACCTCCCAATCAACGTTGGCTCACCAACAATTAAATAAATCAGCATGGCCATCAGACAAATCAAGAGTGGCAAAGCAGCAGCACCAGATAACATTCCAGCAGAGGCACTAAAATCAGACATAACGGCAACTGCAAGGGTAGTCAACATTCTCTTCAACAAGATTTGGGATGAGGAACAAGTACCAAAAGACTGGAAAGAAGGACATCTCATCACGTGTGAGAACTACAGAAGCCTCACTGTTCTCTCGATACCAGGAAACGTCCTTAACAGGGTATTGTTATACACGATGAATGACTTCGTAGATACCCAACTTCGAGACTAACAGGCAGGATTCCGTAAGGATCAATAGTGTGCAGACCAAATCGCAACTCTACGGATCATTGTGGAACAATCAATTGGATGGAATTCATCACTCTACATCAACTTCATTGACTACGAAAAAGCATTTAGCAGCGTGGACAGGACAACACTATGGAAGCCTCAGAGGGTAGTCAATATCATACAGAATTCATATTATGGATTAAACTGCAAAGTCGTACATGGAGGACAGTAGACAAAGTGTTTCGAAGTGAAGACCGGTGTTAGGCAAGGTTGCTTATTCTCACCCTTTCTCTTTCTCCAGGTGATCGACTGGATCATGAAGACGTCAACATCTGAAGGGAAACACGGGCTATGATGGACAGCTAGGATGCAATTGGACGATCTAAACTTCGAAAATGATCTGGCTCTTCTATTGCAAACGCAACAACAAAAGACGACCAGTGTAGCAGCAGCCTCAGATCGATCCAAAATACACAATATTAGTCAACTCATGAAGACAACAAATAATTGTGGCCATACGCAGTCTCTTGAAAGAGGAATCTGTAGAATTATGGTCTACTATGATATCAGTACTGCCCTAATAATAGACCTAATCCTAAAATCGTAGATGTGTCATGATGTAACTGCCTAATCTATAAGATCTTACGTGGAAGTCACATCATCGTCTACAACTCACTGCATCGTAACTAATACATAATGGAGAACAAGCTTATGCTAGAGATAGAACAATATATTTAGTAGGAATAAACGATATAAGGTAACATTCGACAGGGTACACGCCTGCAAGGCCTGACCACACCATTTGATCAATTCTAATTAACTGAAATAATTCTTTCTGCCTTCCTCATCGTTGGAATTTTCTCCCCGTTAAATATTGAATATCTGTTTTCCCAGTTATCTTGCGTTCAGCTTTGTGGACTTTGTGGTTAGGGCCCAATGCCACTACAAATCTACAAACAGTGACTCAGACCGAGCAATAACATTATCTGATTTTACTTGAACATGCTTATTTTTTCCTGCTCAGATTTCAATGGACTGATGCTTATGTAACCAGTTAATACTGTGAACAAACATTTTATCATTCATAAGATTCTCTAAAATATACGTATTAGGTTTAGTTCCGACTATTTTGAATTACGTGACTTACATCCAGAAAAAAGTTCTATTGATTTCCTGAATTCTCGCTGAAAAAGCACATAACTCATATTCTATGGACACAGGGATTGTATTTGAATAAACTCCTACAATAAACTATTAGCAGAATCATATACCGTTAGGAAGTTGATCCCAGCACATTTTTTTCATAAATATGAAATTGAAGCACACTTTTCTGACCAAGACACCTGAATCCCTGGATTGTAGAGGACAGGTACGGAAGATTGGACCAGCCACTATCAACATTCTTTACTGCAATTTCAAAAATAAGTAGGAAGATCTTCCCAGCGTTTAAATGATTGAGATCAAGTTTTAAATATCCAAAGCACAACCACGTAATTGACCATCATCAAAAAGCGTAGACCCACTTGCTCGTTCATAGTTGTGTGATATTATTACCAGTTCAGTAACGTAATCTCTGGAATTCGACGGCGCAAAGTAACAATAGTTTTCAACACGAGTCCACGTATCTCGTTGCATTTCATCCAAGTTACGAATCCACACAAAGCAGACCAACACTCAAGACCTAGATACGCAGGACGGCTGTTTCTTCTAAGCATGGGACTCCTCAGTAGTGCGCACCTGCGATCCCAAGCACGGGGCTCGAACCTACCTCAAGGAGCCGTGTGCCCGTTCGCTTCTACATCAAATGCACCAGTTAAGACTGTGTTTTGCGATAATCTTGTTAAACTGTACATAATACCAGGATAAATGACTACTCTATGTACCTTAATCACCAGATACCAACCTAGGTTAAAAATGACATATCAACCTATGACAGCATTAGTGTTGGCTATTATGCTGAGCCTATATGCGTTATTCTAGCTTTCGGACAGCCCATTCTATCCATTCTACTTCAGTCACATCCTGACCATGTTCATTCGCTTATCAATCTTGACTGTTTTTATATGAGCCCATAGGTGTGTGTACATTTCTTATCCCATTACCCATCACATGTCTGTAACTTACTTTTGTGTAACTATAAATATTGATTAACGCTTGGTTAAAGGAGAGTTGGCTTACCAGCCATCTCCACTCGGCGTCGTTTCTCCCCTCTGTTTCATTCGCTTTATATACAAAGTATATGTATTCACAAGTTCATTCACGTTATTTGACTTATTTAATTCCGTTATTGACTAACGCGAATAAAGTCGATGATTACATACGATAGGCGACATATATATTTCAACAACAATCATCATTACAATCACCTTGGAGTCAGATTTCGGGCCACTAAAGTGGAGAGCCCTTTCGACAACATCGTTCGATCTAAATGACGATTAAATAACGGGCCACCACACAGCTTTCGCCCAGTCATATAAATATTTAGTAGTTATGATTTTACCAAGATATCTTCAAACTAACTCACATCTTCGACAAATTTAAGGATTGTCGTGTTGAAATATTTGGAAATACATTTCAATAGACATTACACTCATCGTTTTTTCTTGAAACCAGGTGAGTGTAAACACATAAGTAGTCTCAACTTGCACCATTTATGGAGTAGGCGAGATATCCGCCTACCAACAAGAGGTCGAGTTTACTGAGCAGCAGTTCGTTCCTTCCTACTTTACGGCAGTGGAACATAGTCGGTAAGACTAGGGGATATTCGTGGGCTACTAGTATTCGATTGCTCGTCTATCCTGGGACCACCGAGTAAGTGATGCAGTTGTTCGGGAACAGGTATTAGGCAAGGGTGGAAAATTAATTGATGAAGTAGCAAAACTTCGTCGTTTGAGGTGGCTGTGACATGTGTTACGTCTGCCATACCACCAACTGCCCTGACGAGCGATGTTTTATGGTGTACGAGTAGGTTGGAAGGAAGCTAGGGACGGCCAAACCAAAACGTACCACAAACCTATGAAGTCACTGACAAGTGGACTGAGTCATGTCAGTAGGTGTAGACTATAGCAACCGATGGTTAGAGACCTTGAATGAGATGGCTCAAAATCATTTGCAGTGGCGCAGGTGCATCCAATCTTTGTGTCCTAACCTAAATTCTCCATGTCCTTCTTTCCCCTTCCCAAATTAATTTCAGTGAATTATACCCCTTGAATAACATCTTAAAACCCTAATGTTTCCGATTACTGTTTATAATATTACTATCTCTACCACCACGGGATTTGAGTCAACAATTGTATCTCTGTGCTAATTTGGTATGGCAACTCGAATTGATGTACGTACGTACGAAGTTCTACGTTGTTGCTGACTAAGTCTTTTCAATAAAAGAAATAAATAGGGAACTTTGTACATGTATCACTGAATAGTCAATGTTACATACTAACTGCAATCAAAAGTAGACCAAATTGATTTCGGCACAAAATATAATAACTAAGAAATATCAGTACAGAAACACTTGGTTTCGAAACAAACTAGAATGAACACAATTTGGATTTTTAAAATGCCGAAGAAATGACAATTGCATGGTTGTAAAAATTTTGAAAATGAAGTTTGCCAACGATTCGAAATAAAATATCGTGTCAATAAATTATAAACACTTCTACTGTTGTGTAACACGTTTGGAAACAACATCGGGTGAGTAAAAAGATCACATTTTAAAAGGCAACGTAAAACATAACCTCTGAAAAACTATGTACTGATAAATAACATGGAATGAAATAACTTTAGAAGTCAGAACTAACACAATTTCAATATTGAAAATTATTCATCTTTACTATGTACTTCTCCTTCTGCAAGCCGCCGCCACTCGCATAATCTACGATGATAACCTCCCGCAAGCGCATGAATAATGGATACGAGAAATGAAAGTATAAGTCCAGTTATGAGGACAAATAACACAAACTGAAGCCAACTTTGTTGCTAAAATTCATTGGAAAAGGAAGTGATGGAACAGTGATATACTTTAAAGGAAAATATTAGAAATCATTTATAAAAACAAATTTACTGAAGCACACAAAGTGTAAAATAATTGGGGTTTTCACAATGATTTACGACAAAGTTTGCTTCCATAGACTACGTCCGTGAATATACGATCACAGTTGTATGTGAATTGCATCCAATTATTACTCTACGGTGACTGAATAGAAATACGATATTTGTAAGGAATTGTTTTGCTCTAAGATTTATTAGTAGGGCGGCTAAGTAATTGCACTCGACTTTAAAAATCAACACGCACCCCTTCGAGCAGGCAATAATTAACTGATTTGCTGAGCATTCGATGATTCAAAATATTTATAACTCATGAAAACTACTCAGGATAAGCCGTTATTCTACAACTAAAACTGTTATGACTGCGTCGCCAACTGTTACGTCTGATCTTCGCTAATTGTTATGTCGGAATTACCAATTACTTATATTTGTGAAACGAAGAACCACTGCAATTGTCACGACGCGAAGTAATAATACCAAGACTGGAACAAGTGAAGATTTATTAACCCATTTTTATTACTAATTAAGATGAAGTCACATATATGAAAACAATCGTGAGTTATAAAAAATCACATGCTACATGTCATGCTGAGCATAATACACTGAGTAACTATCACAATGAATTAAAAACGGAATTAACGTTGAACAAAAACTACAATGCGTAAAAGAATATATTTTTGCTTTTTAATCCCGCCATAGCAACAACAATGAGCTAAAGACATTAATTTTTTTATACTCAACTACACATAAACAATCTAATCCATGAACATAAGGTGGTGTACATATCAGCAAACAAATACGTTAAATATTCAGAGTGAGAGTTAAGGATTTATTGTGCATAAACATTGTAAGTTTAAGACACTTAGTAATTTAACAAATAAATCTCCTGTAGGTGACATTATCACAGTTTGATTTGATAATTTCTTTGACGAAATGGTTTACACTAAGTCATGAAACGTCAGAAAGTTAAAAATTTTAATTTCCCTACTCATTAGAATATTACAAATATTGTAATTTTATAAATAAATCACTGTAAATAATAAAATTAATTCTAGTAACAAAGTACTAAATGGAATAAATGGTAGTTCAAATTACTTACTCCATTAAATTCTTTATTGTGTAGACTAGCTTTTTGTTGGTGTAAATATTCAAGAAATGGAGATTGTAACTGTTTACCATATACTGGAATACGACTGAAATTGTTAAAAAAAGAAAAAAAAAGACTAAACAAGTTAAACAAGATTATTTTTTTGAAAAACACATGTTGGTATGAAATAACAGTTGGACAAAGATAATTATTAATTTGGTATATACGAGAAAACAGATAAACAGCTTTTATAAATACAGAAAAATCTACCAGTTAACTGAAATGCGCAAAAATAACTTTCACTCAAAACGGTTTGCACGTTGCTTTATTTAATTTAATACATAGGAACCGGTTTCAGATTGTACAATTCGAAAGTGATCAAGCATTTTCTTATAATGATTTAAAACATATTTATAGCTAGAAGATAAATATGCATCAGTCAATAACTTATTACTAAGCAAGATATAAAATCTCTTGTATTAAATTATATTGATAAATAGAGTACATTTAGAATTAGTGGGTTGTATAAATGAATCATGAAGTTCTACTAAGAGACGCAGACTCAAATCGTCTAAAATGTTCGAAACAACCATTCTAACCTAAAACACGTGCACACAAACAACCTATATACCTTTTTTATTGCACTAAGATGAAATTGACCTATATAAATTACGAAAATCACTTTGTTGTCTCTGAGATAAGTATACCTCTCATTTGCGCTCTTCATTCTTTATTTAATAATTTTGAAAAAATAATAGTGTTCACTTGCTATTTTGTGTGATTGCAGTACAGTTGCCTCGATTGTTTAACTCGTCTGAAAACCTATTAGTATTAGGTCTAACAAAACAATCTCATTAAACTTGATTAGCATAAAAATAACAACAAATAATACTCGTAACGTCACAGATAAAAATACATTCCACAAGTTGCTATCATAATACAATTAGTCAAAAGATACCCGACCGTTGTTGCTACCTTGACGTGGTGGTCGGACTTGCCTATCATGATGAAGCAACCGAGCTATACTGGCTGGAACAACCGTTCCTCAAGGTCCTACCATGTCAGACAGGTCGGTTGAAGAGCGGTAAGACTAAAAGCAACAAACCTAAGGTCCGAAGGCGAAGTCGTACTGCTGACTGTACAGAGGTGTGACAGCAGTAAGGTGTTTCCTTCAGACAACCAGCATGACAGCGATGCTGCCTTCCCACAAGGAGGGGTGGGGTTAGAAAAGGTCGACCCTAAAAATGCAAACCTCGCCTTACCTCACGGATTTCCGTCTCCGGCGGTAAGGCTCTTTGAAGAACGGAGCTAACACGTCAAAAACCCTCCACGAAAAGGCCGTGCGCGACCGGCCTCAAGCAGTTGTCCCTTAGGCACTGCGGTCACGCTCTCAGGTCGCTGAGATCGCCTCTAATCCAATTTCCTTTTCAGGTACCTCCAGAAGAACCCTTCCACGGTGTGGGCACCCGGGAAGTGATAACCGCCCTCATACCTCTAACAGCACCCAAGACCACTGTATTCATAATCAACCTTCCTCTTCAATTCCTATTATTCCTCCTACATCGACTTTCAACCCTAAACTTCCTCCTTCGGCTTCTTCCTCAAGTGTCACCATAGCCAACGATTCTAGTACTCAAAACTCTGTCCCAGGTCTACTGAAACCTCGCTCCAAACTACACATTGGAGCTTTCAACGTACGCACCCTATGTCAAATCGGTCAACAGGCTTCCTTGGCTAAAACCCTAGAGTCTCTTTCCATCGATGTATGCTGTGTCTCCGAAACACGCATACAGGATTCCAGTGTGGTCATTCACTTGACCTCACCTCGGCAAAACGGAGAGCCAACGAGATACACCCTACGTGTATCTGGTGACCCGATGGCCAGTTCTCGTGGACTGGCAGGTGTAGGCATAGCACTAAGCATGAGGGCGGAACAAGCACTACTAGAGTGGATCCCCATCAACAGTCGTCTATGTGCTGTTCGGCTAAACGGCTCCGTAAGAACTCGGAAGGATAGGGACACACGTCGTTGCCTTTTTGTCGTTTCTGCCTACGCTCCCACTGACTGCAGCTCAGATGAAGTGAAGGATGAATTTTACAGAAAGCTTTCTGAACTTCTTCAGAAAGCTAAACACTCAGACATAGTACTCGTAGGGGGTGACTTTAATGCCCAGATAGGTAGCTTAAACCAAACAGAAAGGCATTTAGGTGGATATTTTAGCATTCCGGCACAGCGAACAGATAATGGTGATCGTCTGCTGCAACTGTGCTCAGACAATCGTTTATTTTTAGCAAACACAAATTTTAAGCATAAGGAGAGACATCGTCTAACATGGCGACCCCCTACACCAAACCAACGATGGACTCAAATAGACCATATTGCCATCAGTCATCGTTGGAGAGGGTCGGTAGAAGATTGTCGCTCATTCTGGAGTACCTGCTTGGACTCCGACCACGCCCTAATACGGGCACGCATCTGCTTGCGCCTCACCGGACGCAAAAAAGCCACATTAAAAAGACCAATTAGAACTGAATTGAGTAACGAGAAAACCAAAAATAGGTTCCAGGAACAACTGAGTTCACACTTAGGTAGTTCTGAAGACGAGGCTGACCCAGATGTTGCTTGGAAAGACATACAAGCAGCTGTGGAAGCAGCAGTGACATCTATTAGCAACTTAAGCCACATAATTTCCAAGAACCAGTGGATTTCTTCAAAGTCTATTACACTGATGGATTCTCGCAAACTCGTCCCATCAGGTTCCGAACATGATGAAGAGCGACAACAAATCAGATCTAGGTTAAGAAAAAGTCTAAGAAACGACCGTGAGCAGTGGTGGGCAACGAAAGCAAAAGAGATGGAAAAGGCGGCGACTATAGGGAACACAAGACAGCTTTACAGACTAATAAAAGAAACTGGAATTAATAAGTCAAGTGTAAGTGAGATTATATCAGAAAAAGACGATACACTCATCTGCTCCCAGTCCAGGCGTTTAGAACGATGGGCTGAACATTTCAGAGAACAGTTCAGCTGGCCTTCAGCTACTCTACAACTACCCTCCATTCCCAGACAGCGTGAATGGAACATTGAAGTAGGTCCCCCAACTCTTGCTGAAGTTCATAAGGCTATAGATAATCTGAAACGAGGAAGGGCTGCTGGTCCAGATGGATTGGTTCCAGAAGTCTTTAAGGATGGTGGTCCAATTTTAGCGGTTAGGTTGACTAATATTTTAGCTAAGATCTGGGAGTTAGACGTTATTCCATCTGACTGGTCACAATCACTTATCGTCCCAATATATAAGAAAGGGTCAAAATCATCCTGTGACAACCACAGAGGGATTAGTTTAACTAATATAATATCTAAAATACTAGCCTCAATAATAATCAAACGCCTAACTAAAACTCGTGAACTGCAAACACGAGAAAATCAAGCTGGCTTCAGACCTGGTCGTGGCTGCATCGACCACATATTCACCATTCGTCAGGTTCTAGAACACAGGCATACTTATCGACGTCCGACAATGGTGGTCTTTCTTGACTTAAAAGCAGCATTTGACTCTGTAGACCGCGAGATTCTGTGGCAGTGTCTGTCATTGAAAGGCGTACCCCAGAAGTACATAAACCTTGTAAAGGCTCTTTACTCGAACACTACTAGTCGAGTCAGAGCTTATGGCGAACTGTTATCTAGTTTTGCAACCTCAAGTGGTGTCCGTCAAGGATGTCCACTTTCCCCATTTTTGTTTAACTTCATCATAGACCTACTGATGGAAATAACTTTGTCGTCGACTGAGTTCTCGGGTATTGATCTCCTTCCAGGAGGTCCACTTATCGACTTAGAATACGCAGATGACATAGTCCTGTTTGGTGAAGACGCTGACAAAATGCAGAGTCTTCTAGTAGCACTGAGCAACAATGCCAGGATGTTTGGAATGCGCTTCTCTCCCTCTAAATGCAAGTTGTTGCTTCAGGACTGGTCTGCATCAACACCTGAACTAAGGATAAGGAGTGAAGTAGTCGAACGCGTTGACAACTTCACTTATCTTGGAAGTCTGATCAGCCCTAATGGGTTGGTATCGGACGAAATCTCAGCACGGATTCGAAAAGCTCGTTTGGCTTTTGCCAACTTACGTCACCTGTGGCGAAGGCGAGATATCCGTCTATCAATAAAAGGACGAGTATACTGCGCGGCAGTCCGTTCTGTCTTACTTTACGGTAGCGAAACATGGCCATTAAGAGTAGAAGACACTCGTAAGCTATTAGTATTTGACCACAGATGCCTAAGCAATATTGCTGGCGTCTGCTGGGATAACCGGGTAAGTAATAGTGAGGTTAGACGCAGGGTATTAGGAAAGGATGGTAAATCAGTTGATGAGGTTATGAATCTTCATCGACTGAGATGGTTGGGCCACGTGTTGCGTATGCCTGAACACCGATTACCACGACGTGCAATGCTATCCAGTATTGGAAATGGTTGGAAGAAAGTTAGGGGCGGCCAAACCAAAATGTGGCATCACTCATTGAAGTCACTAACCTCTAGTCTGAGCCATGTTGGTAGATGCAGACTACTTGGTTGGGGTCCGCGTAACTATCGTAACCAATGGTTGGAGACTCTTGGTGACATGGCTCAGAATCGATCACAATGGCGTCGGTGTATACACTCCCTGTCTTCCCTTAAACTAAGAGATTAAAAGCGCTTCATATCTTTCTTTCTACTAACCAATTCTTTCTTCTTGTACTATATCTCTATATGCAATCTTTCTCTTATATATTACCACCTTTTATCTAACCACTGTTATGAATCTGGTGTTCATCTTGTTGTGTTGATGCGGTATGGCAACCTGGACCGATGCACACATGTGCCTGGTCCTACGTTGTAGCTGACTGACTGACTGACTAGTCAAAAGATAAATTCATACAAAAATCTTACATATAGGCATATCGAATTTCAAGAGAGTATTTGCTTTTAGTAGTGAAAGCTACCTGAATTAAACAACCACTGGACATATTTTGCTAAAAAAATGCTTTTGTTTAAAATATTGACTTTTGTTTTTCCTCTATCTTTTATAAAGTTCTAAGACAAATTTTATCTATTTACATGTGATCATCAATAGAGTAGGAACCAAAAGCTGATACTTACACAAACCTTGTTGGTAATATAGATTGCACTTCTCCAACACCGCCCGCTTTTTACTAACGAGCTTCTCTTGGGTTCACTTAAATGCAGTAGTAAAAAGAGTGGGTCCGAAGATTTTTTGACTATTTTAAGAACTAGATCGTAAATAAACTCACACTTAAGTGTAATGAAAAATTAGAGGAACATTAAAAATGTCAAGAAATCGCCATGATAATCAATGCGCGATTCTTCACATACTTTTTAGGGTTTCTATTGCTTACTCCTATTGCAATAATAAAATATTTGTAACATTATATTAACTATTCAGTGGGCAACAAGAATTCGTGATTAACTCTTCGAATGAATTTTAAAAATACTGGAAGATGAAAATCGGGTGTTGTAGTCAATAGAATGTAGCTTTATAACATAATCATTGTAGTCTAACCCGAATAAACTTTCGTAAACTTTATTTGTATGAGCTGTGTTTCTTACCAGGAAAATAAACATATTCATTCAAAATGTCTTGCAGAACAATATAAATTTTCCGAAACGTAAATATTGTTCATAATAACTAATCCGCAGACTTTCCAAATAACATTAAGCCGTCATTTTAGTTGAGATACTTTGCTTGTAGCATAAAAGGAAGATATTTATTAAAACAAACCATATTAAACTTGACAAATGTAGTTTCAGTAACCTTCCGAAAAACATTCTAGTTGTTTCTTAATCGTTTTGAAGGTTTTCAAAATGATTTCCTAATGTCAGTAGTCAACGAGATATTTGGAAAATGAACTGCTTAAAATCTTTATTTATATAAAGAACAGTCTTTTCGGAACATATCCGAAGACTTTAGGATAATGTTATTTCTATTTAACTAATGTAATCTCTTGGGGTAATACGAGTAAATTGATACATACATCTAGATGTAAACTGTGAGGGGTACCAGTTAACGTATGATTATGCTAAAAAAAGACGATACATTTAGCTACAATATAGGTTTGGCTATTGTATTTTTTCGATTATCCCTTCAATATTTTTACATGCTAACTACATTAAACCGCTGTTATTTTGCAATTGACTAAATAAGAACTATCAAAATCCATGCGTAATCCATCACACGTACCCTTAAAATAAATTAAACACTGAATTTTGACATCTGATCATCATTGTATCACTATATCAAAAACGTTGGACCTCGTTTCGTGATAAACTGTTTTTATTTGCTCCGATGAACAGTGATGCACAACTGGAACGTATGTTTTTGATTGATATCAAAGATAATGCCTCATCAACATATCTGGAGTAGGATTATTAATTGAATGTTTAAGCACGATCTCAAGATTAGCCAAAACAATACTTCAAGAAATGAAAAAATAGATTTGTCATGACTGATCTATCAATTTGGACAACTGTTGAAACAGCATTACAAAGGTTCAATACAACCTTCCTTCGAGATACTGACAAACTCAATGAATTCAAGATAACTCTCAACAACAGGTTCCAAGCCTTACAACATCTACTCAATATAGCCTTCCTTTGAGATACTGACAAACTCAATGAATTCAAGATAACTCTCAACAACAGGTTCCAAGCTTTACAACATCTACTCAAAAAAGAAACTACTATGAATGACAACTGGAAAGAGATCAAAGAAGCACTAACTCCAACGTGTCAGGAGGTTCTGGGTCGCAACAAGCATCATCAAAAAGAATGGATCTCTGTCGAAACCCTGGACAAGATTCGAGAAAGGAAGAACAAGAAGACAGCAATTAACAACAGCCGAACAAGAACAGAGGAAGTCAAGGCACAAGCTGAATACACAGAAGCAAACAAGCAAGTGAAGAGGAGCATTAGTGACGACAAGCAGAAACACGCGGAAGATATGGCAGCGACTGCGGAAAAAGCTGCAAGAGAATGAAATACGAAACAACTATATGACACAACGAAGAAACTGGCAAGGAAATATGGTAAACCAGAGAAACCAGTCAAGAACAAAGGAGGCCCGGGACAGAGTTCGATGGATAATGCTGGTGGGCGACCTATGCTGCTCCACGAGGGGTAAAATGCATAAGTAATCCATCAATTAGGCGATATATAAGGTACTGTTAAACAGGAAATGGTTGACCTTCGTGGAAATAAGTGGCAGGGAGTCGAAACCACATCTTCATCATTCAAGTAATAACAACTACGGTATGCAAATGAAGGCATACTCAGAATGTGTATTCCAGGGCGACATATAAACTAAAACCTATTATGTTGACTTGTTACACATAGCAAAAATTTTCCCCCATTGTCAATCTCCCAACATTGAGCCCATGATAATCTCGTATTTTGAAACATGTGACAAAGAGAAAACAATTACGTATATTAAGATTTTTGAGAAATAAAGTTACATCCACAATAAAAGGTCAAACGTTTGTTTCAAATACATGGTGGATAAATTATCTAGCGGAGTTGGAATACTTCACTTGAAGTGTGTGCTGATGTTGTTCAGAAAAAATTTTACCTTTCTAATCTACAAATAACGCAGTTTGGAGGTATTTATGTCGTAACAGATGCAAACATTAACCTTTTTTAACATAAAACATCGTCAAATCCATTAATACATGCTTCATTTTGGCCTTTGTAAAATAATATAATTATAGACTTATAAATGTAGAGCCTGATGGTGAAATTGTCGAAAAAACTGTTCGCTCAAATATTCTTTATTTTTGGATATTCTACGGGGATTTTTAAACTGCTAAACTATTAAAATATTAAGATTTTAGAAATACGAAGCGACTTACATTTATACAAAATATTTAGTTGAGTTTCAGTAATCGGCGACATATTTTAAATTGTAAATAAAAAGGGAAAGTTAAATGGAAAAGCAATATATTGGAGATAACTCCACCTGAATTCAGTTATCAAAGAGTCTTTACGGAAGCCTCATGGGAGAATAACAGAAAACAGTTCAAAGTAGAGAAAATATATAAAATTATACCTCATGTAGACAAAAAACTAAGTTTTCGGTACATTTGAAGTTTTAAAACAGGATTTTAGGTATAAAAATGGTTCACAATTTCAGATTATAACATTTACAGTTATTTTAGTTACATGCAATTGATTATATAATATTCAAAGGGATAAAACGTGCTACCTACCCGATTAATTCAACTAATGTTTCTACGTGGTGCTCAGAACTTAAAGCGATCACAGTTAGCTGTTGTAAATGAACCTTGATCAAGGCTTTGCCAATAAAAGTTGCTCCAAAGAAAGACCAAAATGGCACCAAAAAGTGTCCACATGTTACTCCAGCCAAATCGAACAATGGGTTGGGGATCTATGTAAAAATATATAATTCGCTTAACATAGTTACATGTTACGTGAAAAGAAAACATTTTTGAAACATCTCCACAGAATATTCGAAAACCTTAGAATGTTAGAGTGAACAACTGTTCCCAGTAAATTCATCGTTGGACACTGAAGTTTTAAATCTGTGATTATCGCATTATTATGGCAAATTTATTGAAAACAATTATTTGCTATAGAACGTATAAAGAAGTGTAAGACAATCACGTATTTAGCTGATCCCGTATGTATGTCACATAAATATCGCTAAGTGTAGCATATATATCTGGTCCCCCCTTGTACCAATATTTATGTGTTCAAATAAATAAATAAATAAATCGCTTAATTCATTATCGAATTGAAAAGGTCACACGGAAACAGTGGAATATAATTCTTTCTCTTTGAAATGATAAGTTTAGACAGAATAGATTCAACCATTTACCTTTGTCATAAAGCAGTTGTGAATGAAGAGAACTGAAGAGAAAAAAAATTGGACATCATACTTGGAGATAATGCTATTCCGCTTTGGCTACACTCTGTCGACTTAATTTGTAAACCAGTGAGGTAAAATAGAATTATGCACCTTGCATAATTGGTGCTTGCAATAAAGATACCTTGTGACTGTTGAAAATGAGACGGATGAACTATCTTAGAAATTTCTTACTGAATTGAACCCCTTAGATATTTGGAAGATCAATACCAGTGACACTAGCAAACAACACCTAAATTCAGTTGATACATTCTAACAAGCGTTGCCTTGTTTTAAGCGAGTTCCTGTACTCGGCGTTAAATCAAACTTATTACGAGTAGTGATAGTTACCATTTACATGGATCGAAACAGTATGATTTCAACCTGAGACAAGATTTTCTGGACATTATACCTACCTGAATACTTACTAAAACAAGACTATTAACGTGTGAAAAAACGGTTATGCCACAATATATACTACACAAACCACATGTTAATTTCTCCTGAATTCGTATTTAAATAAATATGCTAGTCAGGTAATGAAGTAATACTGACAAAGTGGCTAGCTAGTTTAATTCTAAAAACTTGTAATTGTAATAAAGAGTAATCCAATATCTAAGGCAGGTATTACATTGTAAACTAATAACTTACAGAAGCACAAAGTAAAATTCCAATAAATCCAGCTTTCATGATTAGATGATGCAAAAAGCGTTCAGCTTTCTTTTGAAAAGTAACTGTTTGGTCTGGAAGATTAGCAGAATTTTGATTCGACGAGATGGATTCATGTAAATCCAATAATTCATCACTGTATTCCCCGGAAAGCTTGGCACCTCGAGCCATGAAATAAGGAGGCAATTCGCCAAGCGCAGTCCCTAAACCCTTAAAATGGATGGACAAACACAAACTTATAGTCTGTTGAGAAGTGAAAATGACAAGTGACGATGTAAATAAATACCCAATATTATCTCACGCCACAATGTAAACATGTTTCCATAATAAAAACCATAAAGGCATTGAAGATTCCAATCGATCATTTACAAACAATATCACAAAGTTCAGATAGTACAATAAATACATTGTCTAGCTTGGTTTCAAATCATGAATTCCAAACCAGTTCCCAACTTTGATTTCCAATGGAATCACTTGCAATTACTAACTGATTACTAAACCCAATTTTGTACACATTTATTTTTAGCCTTACTTACGTGATCATTACTATTCATCAACCGATTGTTTGGTTGTTATATGCGTTTTCAGCCAGTTAGTCAGCTACAACGTAGGACCAGGCACATATGTGCATCGGTTCAGGTTGCCATAACTCATTAGCACAGCAAGATGAACACCGGATTCATAGGAGTGGTTAGGTCAAAGGTGGTAATATATAGGAGGAAGATTGCATATATATATAGTATAGGAAGAAGGAATGAGCTAGTAGAAAGAAAGATATGAAGTGATTTTAATCTCTTAGTTTAGGGAAGACAGGGAGTGTATACACCGACGCCATTGTGATCGATTCTGAGCCATGTCCCCAAGAGTCCCCAACCATTGGTTACGAAAGTCACGCGGACCCCAACCAAGTAGTCTGCATCTCCCAACATGGCTCAGACTAGAAGTTAGTGACTTCAAGCACTGATGCCACATTTTCCCGACCGAAGCTGCTACCTTGACGCGGTGGTCGGGCTTGCCTATCGTGATGACCCAACCGAGCTATATTGGCTGGAACATATGTTCCTGTAGGTTCTACCATGCCAGGCAGGTCGATCGGTGAACGGTAAGACTAAAAGCAACAACTCAAGGTCTGAGGGCGAAGTCGTACTGCTGACTGTACAGAGGTGTGACAGCAGTAAGGTGTTTCCCTCAAACAACCAGCATGACAGCGATCCCACAATGAGGGGTGGGGTTAGAAAAGGTCGACCCTAAAAATGTCACACCTCAACTTACCTCACGGATTTCCGTCTCCGGCGGTAAGGCCCTTTGAAGAACGGAGCTAACACGTCAAAAACCTTCCACAAAAAGGCCGTGCGCGACCGGCCTCAAGCAGTTGTCCCTTGGGCTCTGCGGTCACGCTCCCAGGTCGTCAAGACCAACACTAATCCAATTTCCTTTTCAGGTCCCTCAAGAAATACCCTTCCACGGTGTGTGCAGCCGGGAAGTGATATCAACCCTCATACCCGTAACAGCACACGAGACCAAGTTGGTCACATTCAAATCCTTCCTACACCTCCTAATACCTCTCTTATTTCCATGACTAACCCTCCTCACGTTTCTTTATCACATCGCACCGGTAGGGCAAACGATTCGAGTACGCGGAACGTTATTCCTGGTCTCCTGAAACCACGCTCTAAACTACACGTAGGAGCTTTTAACGTCCGAACACTGTGCCAAATAGGACAACAGGCTTCCTTAGCTAGGTTTTAGAATCCCGCGTCATCGATGTGTGCTGCGTCTCCGAACTGCGCATACAGGATCCGAGTAGCGTCATTCATTTGACCTCACCATGCCAAAATAAAGAACCGACTCGATTCACACTTTGTGTATCTGGAAGCCCTGATTCTGCTTCCCGTGGCATCGCCGGCGTAGGCATAGCACTGAGTCCTAGGGCAGAACTAGCTCTCTTAGAGTGGATCCCAGTAGACAGTCGTTTGTGCGCTGTCCGACTGAACGGAACAGTAAGAATCCGAGAAGATAGGGACACTCGTAGTTGCCTCTTCGTCGTCTCTGCCTATTCTCCCACTGACTGCAGCTCAGATGATGTAAAAGATGAGTTTTACAGAAAGCTTTCCGACCTTCTCCGAAAAGCTAGGCGCTCTGATGTAGTAATAGTGGCCGGTGACTTTAATGCTCAAGTAGGTAAACTAAGCGATAGGGAAAGACACCTAGGTGGATCTTATGGTGTCTTGGCTCAAAGAACAGATAATGGCGACCGTCTGTTGTAGCTATGCTCAGATAATCGCCTGTTCCTTGCAAATACTAACTTTCAGCATAAGGAAAAACATCTTTTAACATGGCGACCCCCTAATTCGTCCCAACGTTGGACCCAAATAGATCACATCGCTATCAACCACCGATGGAGGGGCTCGATAGAAGACTGTCGCTCATTCTGGAGCACATGCTTAGATTCAGATCACGCTCTAATACGAGCGCGTATCTGTCTGCGTCTTACTGGACGTAGGAAAGATGCTGCAAGTAAACCTCTTAGGGCCCTACTTAATGATAGTCAAGCTAAGAGTATATTTCAGGAACAACTGGGAAAACAACTAGGCAGCCATGTATGTGTTGCCCACCCCGAGGCAGCATGGAATGATATCCGAAAAGCTGTGGAAACAGCAGTGATATCTGCTAGTACGGTAACCCGTAAGGTTAGGGAACGACACTGGATCTCAGCAGCATCTATCGCACTGATAGATGCTCGGGAACTCATTCCACCTGGCTCTGAACATAATGAAGAGCGGAGTCAGCTTAAGCGCAAGCTGACAAGAAGTCTACGCAATGATCGTGAACAGTCGTGGGTAGCGAAAGCAAGAGAGATGGAGAAGGCAGCGGCAATAGGTAATAGCAGACAATTGTTCAGACTCGTTAAGGAAACCGGAATTAGGAAACCGACTGTTAGCGAAACACTCTCAGAGAAAGATGGACATTCTCAATCCAGGAGATTGGATCGATGGGCAGAACACTTCAGGGATCAGTTCAACTGGCCTTCAGCCACACTTCATCCCACGTTTTGGTTTGACCGCCCCTAACTTTCTTCCAACCATCTCCAACACCGGTTAGCATTGCACGTCGTGGTAATCGGTGATCAGGCATACGTAACACCTGGCCCAACCATCTCAATCGATGAAGATTCACAACCTCATCAACTGATTTACTATCATTCCCCAATACCCTTCGTTTTACTACTAACTATTACTTTCGTAAGTAGGACTAGATTAAGATATGCTGTTAACTGATTTCTGTTTTGTTTCAATTGTATAATGTATCACAGTAGAGCCATAATGAAGAACTAATTAAAGATAAATGTTTCCTCATTCTCTTTGTATTTTTAATGTCTGATTGAGAATACTGAAGTTAGTACAAACAGTTTTATCTCCCCCTTGCATATAATGTGCATCTGTTGTACGACCAAGGGTAAAGATCTGCTCTCCGTGAAATACCTCATACGATTGAGCGTTTACAGCTTTTTCTAGAGAAATCTTAACTCGATTTACGTGGTGGAGATGTGAAAGTGGACATTCAACCTCTAAACCAGGTTGGTGATTACCGATATCCACCAGAGGGACACCCTAATTCCAAACCAATGCTCCACATTAGCTCCAAGATAATAAGTATAGTGTACGAGCCAACCCTAGTCACTATCCTCCTTTGATTGCTTCATTTGGCTATGCTTTACTACCTTTTAAACTACACTAATAAATACTTACTGTTTCCTCGTGACGGGGGTGTTGTTTACGGACGAAAAGCGAATGTCCCGCACTTAAATACGGTCTGTGTGTACGGAAGATCCACCTAGATGTTATGGAAAACCGTGATTCCAAACCAAGGGTAAACTAATGTGCAGATATATTTGGATGTCTTTATAGCATGACATGGTTTATTAACCACGAACCAACCAATGCACTCAAACTTCGTTTGGAGAATAAAGTCCCGATTTTCTGAGGTTAAGCTCTTTATAAATTATTACACAAGGAAATGACTCAGCTAAAAGAGCATTTGAGAAACTGTTCAGTGAGGAAAATTACGGACCTACAGGACGATATTGAACGAAAGGGGTACCTCCCAAGAAGTGAAGTAAACTTCAAGAGCACCTAAGAACAGCTTTTAGGGTAAAATGCTATATAATAAATCCTGATAATAACCTGACGGTGATCTTAGCCTTGATAATTTTGAAGGAAATCAATTACTGCAAGCCAAACATTTTCTGGAAAACCTTGACGATTGCATTTAACTTCAATCATGATACTTTATAATTTGAAGACATATTGCAGCTCAATTCATGCGATTAGAGCTTCACCGTGACACTTAACTTTTGAATAAGGAGGTAGGAATACCTTAGAATTCACACCTTACGGATCTCCAAATGGTACTAGATACGACTAAGTTCACAAGCGGAAAATTTAACTAGAAGAAACTGCCGGATAAAATCCCGCGAAATGATCATTAATTGTACAATTACTAAACAGTATAGGACGATTATTATTATTAATATATGGTGACAGACTCTAAATAGAATAACTGGGTTTATTGCATGACTTATAATCAAAAGATTTTGAACAGATATTTCATGGAGATATTAGTATTCATGAATCGTTTTTGATATTAAGAATATTGCTACATAAAAACGTCTCTTAATTGAGACCCGATAATTAAATGCCTAATGCTTGAGCCAGTAAAGCCACAAACTTCTCCGTGAATAAGAATCCAGACTAAGATACTTGTTTGGGATAGGGAAAGAACGTAGTTTGTTGGTTTAATCCTCCTTAAAACGTTTAAATTAAAATGTTTCAGGGTAAGGAACTCGTGTAAGACACGAACGTGAATCCAATAGACACGAAAAGTAGATGCGTGAGGACTGTCGATGAGGCACTACAAAACTTTCTTCTTTCATTGCAAGTACTTTGAGAAACAAAGGTATTCCGACTAGATTCTAAAAGAGACTATCCCAAGCGTTAATTCACAACTAACTGTCTAATGAATTAAACAAATATATGGGGTGACTGATAACTACTTCGTTGGCTAAACAAAGAACTACTCGTCACACAATTCTAAGATGGGGAGAAACCGACTCATTAGTTTGTGAACAAATGAAAAGCTTTGGATCAGGAAATAGGGTGGTCAAACAAAAATAAAAATAAGCAGTAGCAACTAAGTGTAAAAAAATTATGATTACCATTAACACACTACCGACGAAATACTTCAGGCTAACGGTCTGATTACGTCTAAATCATAACCTTAGGTTGGAAATAACGTTCTCGTTGATTGGATTTTCAGGAATTCATCTCCTCCCAAGAGATTCACTTGTCTACTTATAATACGCAGATAACAGTCCTGTTTGTTGAAGACGCTGATAAAATGCAGTCTTTTGGTAGCACTGAGCAATAATGCCAGGATGTTTGGGATACGCTTCTCCCCCTCTAAATGCAAGTTGTTACTTCAGAACTGGCCTGCGTCAACACCTGAACTAAGGATAGGGAGTGAAATATTCGAACACGTTGACAACTTCAATTATCTTGGAAGTATGATCAGCCCTAGTGGGTTGGTGTCTGACGAAATCTCAGCACGGATTCAGAAAGACTGTTTGGTTTTTGCCAACTTCCGCCACCTATAGCGAGGGCGAGATATCCGCCTATCGATTAAGGGACAAGTATACTGCGCAGCAGTTCATTTTGTTCTACTTTATGGATGCGAAACGTGGGCATTAAGCGTAGATAATCATAACTTACTAGCATTCGATCACAGTTGTTTTAGAAATACTGCTCGCATCTGCTGGGATAACCGGGTAAGTTATAGTGATAACGTGTTACGTATGCCTGGACACCGATCACCACGACGCCCAATAGTGACTAGTGTTGGGGATGATTGGAAGAAAGTTGGGGGTGGCAAAACCAAAATGTGGCACCATCCTGTAAAGTCACTAACTTCTAGTCTGAACCATGTTGGTAGGTGCAGACTATTTATTTGAGGTTCGTGTGACCATCGTAACTAATAGGCGGAGACTCTGAGTGACATGGCTCAGGATCGATCACAATTGTCAAGGCGTATATACTCTTCGTCTTCCCTTAATCTATGAGATTTAAATTGCTTTATACCTTTATTTCTACGAACTAATTCTTTCTTCCTGTATTATATCCTCATACACAATCCTTTACAGATTACTATCATTAAAGTAACTACTTCTATAAATTTAGTGTTCATCTTGCCGTGCTAATGTGGTGGACCGATGCATATATGTGCTCGGTCCTACGCTGTAGCTGACTGACTGACACCAACTGTTGGGCAGATGCTGAAATTGTTTTGAGTACTGTAATCCTCCATACTTTCAGAGCTCTGAACGAAGCGTTTAGGATCATATATACAGTCAACAATGCGACATACGATAAGTAAACCCAAACCTTAATCTGACTTCAACACTAAAAAAGCATTCAGTTACTTGTCCTTCAGAGACAAAATACAACTAGATGTTAAACATAAATTGAGAGCATCAAAACGTAAATAAGGGGCCAAAACCGACCGACCCATTATCACTTCGTCAACATACCCACATGATTGACTCCATTTGCACTTTCCGCATAATTTTCCAAAACGTAATTTTCTCAAATGGATTTGTATTATCCGGACATACAATTCTATCCGGGTAAGGTGGACGAGGAAAATCAAGTGTTTTACATTCATATGCGCTCATCGTGACTTCAGCTATAAACGGACCCTAACAACAAGTTTAATGTTTAATAGAAATTAACTTACTAGATACAAAACAAAAGTGTGTAGACCGGTACCAAATCCACATGATGATAGAAATCCAAGCCAAACCCACCAAGACCACCATAAGAAAGTAGATTTCATGCGGCCAAAAGTCTAAGGATAACGGAACTAGATTAACAGCTTACATGAGAATGAGGACCTTCGAAGTAGTCCAAAAAAAACAGTAATAAAATTATGCTGACAACAAAAACACATCTAGTTTTGTTTTGCAAAACAGTAAAGCGCAGCTGAGCAAATCTGAATATACACTCCAAGACGAAATAATACAGTGTAAGTAAAGGTGATTTCCAGAGAAAAAGTTGGTCTCGTTGCATTTGTTCTTCCACTTTCAAACCTAATTTGAACTGAACACCGTTTTGTTGGCGTTTGGTCCCCTTTCCCATACCCATTGAAACTGCAAAGGTTTATTATACAAATCAGTGGTATAAATCCAAACAGTAAGCGTGGATAAACTTCAAACGCCGAATATACGGCAAAAGTGTGGTATGACCTTCAAATGGTTCAAATGGTTGTTGACGGAATAGAAGAAGCTTTCGCTTAACAGGGTTCCGTGTCTAGTAGCAGGGGATCACCAAATCCTCCAGGCAGGAACCTAGGTATGTTAACAATAAAAGAGGAAAAAGAAATTGGTAAATCATAGTATGATACTGTCCTTAATCCTTAAGAATAGATCAAGTTGCCTCTTAAAGCACTCCTGGGATGTCGCTTGAACTAGCTCGGTCGGCAGAGAATTCCAGCGTTTAACAACTCTTAAGGAGTAGAAGTTGTGTCCACAGTCCGTTCTGCTATGTTGTATCTCCGATTTCTGGGTGTTATCCCTTAGGTTGGTATTAGGACCAAGCTTTAGTAGGTGTTTAAGAGGATGTCCAGAAGTGTTAAGGATACTGTAAACCATTGAAAGGTCACCTCCAAGTTGTCTGTACTTCAATGGGTAAAGTTTAGGTGATTGGATGTGCTCTTCATAAGGTTTAAATTTGAGTCCTCGAACTGATTTCGTGGCTCGCCGTTGGATACGCTCCAAAGTGTCCTTATCCTTTTGAAGTGAGGGAGGAAATGCTATGTTTTCATACTCTAAATGGGGACCGATAAAACTATTGAAGATTACATGAAAAGTTCGTCCGTCAAACTGGACAAAAACGCGCTTCAATATTACCAGTGCAAGATTTGTCCGGAAGGCATTTTTGTCACAGTTAGCGTAAGACTTTAAATCGTTGGACACTAGGACTCCTAAGTCTTTTTCGACTTGGGATACTACTAGAGAGCAGTTTCCTGATTTGTAACTGTAGTCTGCGACATATCGCAGATGGACTACTTTACACTTTGAAGTGTTAAAGGTAAGTCCGTTATCGTCTGCCCAACTTTGAAGTCGGATCAGATCCTCCTGAAGAGCCTTTATATCGTCTTGGTTGCGTATCTCTCTCCAAAGTATCACGTCATTGGCTAAAAGTAATAAGTCTGACGTTACCTGTTGAGGAAGATCATTTATGTAGATCAAGATGAGAAGAGGTCCTAGTACTGAGCCCTGAGGGACCACACTAGGACATTCCATAGCCTGAGACAAAGTGAAATAAACTCTGACATTAAAATGTCGATTTTTCAGGTATGAAGTGAACCAATCGATTAGAGGTGGTTTGATACCTAATCGTTTGAGCTTATCGATAAGACATGTATGGTTAACCTTATCAATAACTTTTGAAAAATCTAGGTAGATGATATCAACCTTCCCCTTGCGGTCGAGGATGCTTGTCCATCTGTTCACCGCAGTCAGCAGATTGGTAATACAAGAAGAACCCTTCCTAAAACCATACTGTTGGGGTGAGAAGAAATTTAAGAACAGTAAGTAGTCATTTATACCATCACATATCGGGGACTCCATGAATTTTGAAGGTATTGAGAGGAGAGCCACCGGTCGGTAACTTGAAGGTTCGCTGCGTCGACCTCCTTTCAAAATCGGTGTGATGTGAGCCAGCTTTCAATTTTCCGGCTTAGCGAGTCTGAGAACATCACGCTAGGCGTCGTTGCCAGGATTGAGGCTGCTTCCCTCAGTATGGCAGAATGGACAATATCCGGGCCAGGAGAAGTGTTTAATTTTAAGTGCTGCAGTTCCCGGAACACCACGTCAACGCTCAAGTTCACTACGGAAAGTCCTTTGGAGATGCAGATGAAGCTTTCACCAGTATAGTTGATGTGGGTCGGTTGAAATGTCCGACAGTATTGTCCAGCCAAAAGGTTAGCGGCGTCGCCATCGATTTTGGTCGGACCGCTGGGACCTAGCAGTTGGGAAACTCTAGTTTTGGATTGACGAAGAGATGCTGCATAACGTAATGAGCTTTTTGGATTAGAGACAAATTTATCCATAAGCTTTGTCTGGTACTGAAGCCTGTCTTCTCTTATAGCCTTCGTGTATATGATCTTTATATATTTGTTGTTACTTCGTTTGTATTCTGCCCAACAGTGCCTTTTGCAGCTTAGCAGGCGAAGAGTGCGGTTCTTGATGATTGTAGGTTGCTTGTAGCTTTTGGGGACCGTTTGAGGAATTGACTGCTTTGTAGCACATAAGAGTGTGTGCAGTAAGAAGTCCCAATGAGTATCCACATCGAGTTGAGGGTGAACATCCGAATCCACTTGTTGTAGATAGTCCTGTAGCGCTGACACATTCAACCGTTTGAAATTTCAGCGCATGCTGTTGGTGGGATATCCTAGCTCAGTTTTGCTGACGAAAGTGAAAGCTATGACGGCATGATCGCATTTCACCAGGGGATCCAGGATTGAGAGGTTGTCAACTAGGAATTCTTCGATTGTAAGTACACAGTTTTAGCTCGACAGTGTCTGACTGTTTCTCCAACGAGTTGCCGACTTCACATTTTCGTATACTCCCGAATCCTCAAAGAGACTGAAGAACCGAGCTTCATTAGAGTTTTCATCTCTAATAAACGTATGTTCTGCGAAATTGACTCTAGGGAGATTGAAGTCCATTAGAATCAGGATATGAGTGAAACCTGGACGCGTAGAGCGGGACAGTCCTTCCAGCATACGACTATCGTACTCTATGTCGACAGTTGGCTTCCTGTAAATGACTCCAACCAGACACCTCGAAGTACTGGACAATCTTACAGAGCACCATATAGATTCCTCAAGATTGTTAAACTCGAGGTTATGAACTTGGTGTAGCTTTAAGCAAGATCGTATGTATACGGCTACTACACCCCCAATTCCCGTTTTTCTTTCGTTGCGAAACAAAGACAGCCCAGGTATTGCTGGCTTCTGGTCCGAGAACTGAGAAGATATCTAAGGTTCAGATGAGCATTAGTAGCATTGCTAAGTTCATGTAGTTCATCCATTTTGTTTGGTAGACTTGCAGCGTTCATGAATAAGCAGTTTATTCTTTCAATTTGGAACGCGTGAGCTTCTCCTTGTTTGTCTGTATGAGCCTTACGTGAATGGACAGGTAGCCCACTTATATAAGGTTTGCCGAGTTGGTAGGCCCTGTCCTGTAACTTGTTCGAAACCTTATTCAACCAATTTCTAATTTCAATTATCAGATTTTCGTGATCTTGGGCTTGTGTTCTTGATAGTCTCTGTAAGCTGTTATCGTCATTAAATTTAAGTGCATTCTATTTACTCACTGAGTCATCTGTCCATTTTTTCGTGTTCTTTTCTCATATAGACCCAATATATGTACTCCCCCCAGAAAATAATGTACCTCAAGGGTAGATAGAGACTCAAGGAAAACCGAGCTTCACAAAATTGCTGTCTCAACACCTGAACATTTTTGATGGGCTGGCATAGACCATTCAGTTTCTCAGTACTCACATCTTGATCTTCGTAAACGTTACATACTCTCGTTACTATGCCGTTTGCATTTGTTTGCATTTAGTCCCGTTCCAGATGTAGATGAAAATTATTCCACAAAATAAGTAACCTCTTGTTATTCAATATGGATGCTGAACATTTTAGCACAACGGGATATACAACCCTGAAGCGTCCCGAAATTTATCTCCTCAAATAACCACTCAGCTTCGGAGTTATGCGCTATGATACGCCTTCCTCTGAAAGCAGAATGATTCCACTTTCAGTCATCTTCAGATTCTCCCTCTACTGTTCTGGAAGCGTTTGAAAGAAGAGACTCGAAAACTAGAATATCAGGACTGATTGTGAACTTCCTTCCACTTGTTATATTATTTATGCATGATCCGAATTTCGAAGACTGACAATGTTTACCTAAATATAATGTTAGGTCTTTAGATTCCGTTGGAGCAAGTGTTTGAACATTTCTTCGCTGCACATTAGTTAGCAGAGTAGATATTTTATTTGGTGACCGACCACAAGGTCTGTTGAACTCGGCTTTTGATAAAAAGTCGGGCGGAGGCACAATTGACCGGAACGACATTTCTGTTAATCAAGCCATCAGAAGTGTTTCACGTAGTAAGACTGCATGGCGGGTTCCGGAATACTTCTAAATGAACGTAAATAAAACAAGTAATACCATTAAACGATCTTCCGAAAAATGTGTACCAACCTGAGTTACTGGGATTCAAATACATCCTAACCATTAGTAGCACTCCAGTGGATAACTTAAAAAAATATGATATCCTGAGTGCAAAATCGAAAATGTCGTCGCCATTACGGTTGCTTATACAGTAGGTTACTTGCATTCCAACCACTAGGTCCCAGTTTTAAACCCCGTTTCCATCAACTTGTAACCTGACGCTATGCAAGCAATCGCGTGCGACTTTACGTTGGGTATATTTATTATTTATTTATTCTAACACATAGATATTGGTACAAGGAGGAACCAAATACATATGCGCCAAACAAATCTCATTCGATATGTGTAAAGGCTGTGATACTGCCCGGGTGCCCAAACCCAAGCAGGTTTATGTTGGGTACACGAACCTGTCAACTAAGTCAGGATAATTAACGAGTAATGTGTTGGTAGCTTTTGTTTAGAAAGACTTTGATATGCGCTGAAGCCAAAAGTACTTCAATAAGACTCAACACCGTCTAGCATCTCAAACAATCTTTACCAAAGGTTTGAGTTTAACCCCGGTAAAGAAATAAGGATGTAAAAAACTAACTAGTTTGTGAGTCGAGCACGACACATGAATATACAGGCCTTTTTAAATGCTGGTGTTAGCGTTAGTGATGAGGTTGATTCACGTATAGTGAAAACCAGAGCGGCTTGTGATAATCTGGGTCATCTTTGGCGCCTTCGTGATGTTGGTCTAGCTGTAAAAGGTCGAACCTACAACGCGTCGGTAAGAGCAGTTTTGCTCTATGTTTGTGAATCCTAGTCTCTCCGAGTTGACGGTGTTAGACGACTCTCTGTGTCTGATCATCGTTGTAACCGACGGATTTCTGACACCCAGTGGCAACATCATGTTAATAATGCAGAGGTTTGGCATCGTCTGTTCGGGCACAGCGACGGTAATTCAATTGTTGTCACTATCTAGAGACACCGACTTCGGTAGCTTGGATATGT